CCAGGGCAAAGTACATGTTGATCAGTTAAATACTTCTTCGCTAGCTCAGTAATTTCTTCTGGAAGGGCTTTCGATTCTGGCAAATTGAATGTTCCCCTTGCGATAATACGATGCTCGTAAATTGGGCTATCCAGCCGCCACTCGCCGTCCGGAAAAAAGATGAGGCGAACAGCCCGAAACGGACCTGTACTGGAATCGAACATTAAATGCTTCGAATAAAAAATTAACAGGGCAAACCTTCGCTAATGAGCCACGGGTCCTTCTTCCACAAGAGATTCGGGAAAGAGCGACAAATCTGACACAAGAGATCGCACCTCGCAAAAGAATCCCGCACTGGTTAAAGCGCGACTCCATTCCTGCAGCCGTTCGCCGCTTTCACAACTTTCATTCAAGGAAGATTCTTGCAATTCTTCCTGCAGCAATTTTCGTTCCTTTCTGAAGTTCAAGCTTCGTCGCAAGGCCTCTTTTACTGCAGACAAAGAAATGCTTTTCACGCAGCCTTCTGAACCTTCAGCTGCCGATTCGTCAATTTCTAAACGCGGTTCTTTAGCCTATATCATCAGTCGACCTTTTCATTGTATTTCAGCCCCTTTTAGGTATATTTCATCATAGTTATTAGAGGAGACTGGTTATGAAAAGCGGCAAACATCAATGATAAAAACAACAGTGCTGCAGTTTATGTTGGAAGCACCCTGAAAGTGCACAATCCTTTGTTTTCTGTTGGCAAATTGTTACGGAATAAATTAATGCAACGTTTTTATTGGTCAATACAATCAAAATGATAGGAATTCTTTTAAACGTTGTGCACTTTCAGGTCCACAAAAACATATAACAAAGGAGTCTGACGGGTTTCATAACCATTCCACTCAATTAACTATGATTTCATTTGACCATAATTAAACTACTCAACAAAACTGATCGAACGAGCCAAGATTCCGCGAAATATATGCAAACGTATGCCGCTACTTCGCGCGTGGAAAGTCTTTAATCAACGAAAGGTATTGTGGGAAAACTAGCTGGAGTAAAGGGAAAATGGAATACTGGAATTTGACCGAAGAAGAACGGAATTACATATAGAAACGCAATGCATTCGCGATGGACCAAAATTAGGCGCCATTTTCGGTAGCTGACCAGCTTATCCTTTGAACAAGCAATCGACCTGCCCCCGCCTCAATTTTCCACCTATTTTACTTGCTTTAGGTATTTCTTGTAGTTTAGCTGCCTTTTTCTTCTGGCCCTCACCTTTGCTAGACCCTTAAATTCGGAAACATTATTTCATATTTTAACATTGATAAGATGATTTTGCAGTTTTAAATAAAACCGGCCTATTTTGGCCATGTTTTTAATCCCAGACCACAGTCTCGGTTTTCTTTGTTTCCTAAGTTAGGCGCTCTAGCAAACAAAGCTCGGCTGTTGGCAGTAAAGGGGAGTTTATTGTTAGTGTTTTAGTAAACCGGGGAGGAGACATAAATATAATATAGTTAGTTTTCGTAAGTTTCAAAGTCAACTGATTGTCTTCAACGTTACATTTCCCAATATACAATGGCTTCAAGTTCTTTAATATTCTTGCCGGAAATAAACAGATTAGTATCGACGGCAAACAGTATGAAAGATAACAAATTCGAGCATGTACATATGTATGAATATCATTTGTAAATAACAGATATTCATACATGCTTAGACTGCGAGCAGTCCCTTAGGATGGTCACGCGAGCGAGGAAATCGAGCCGAGGGGAAGCTGGGGAGAAGGCGGGAAAGAAGGGAGGGACTGCATTCTCTTTTGAACCAGACGTGTTCAGGTAACTCCGCCCACCAAAGGCGACAACCGGTTAAAAATAAATTGATCTGTCACTTGATAACTCATAACTCCGCCTCAATTTGTCGCGCGCTAAATCCCCACGGTTTCGCGGCACTTAAATAGATCGAACGTGTGTTTTTCTTTATGAACGAAAATACACCCAAAAAAAAGGTAGTCCGCAAAGGGAGAGGAAGAAAGCCCAATCTGGAAGTTGAGGCCTCTGACTTTTGCCGAATATGTAAGGTAAATTTTAAAAAGAACGGAACTTACATCTCTTCAGAGAATTTATTTACAACGTCCAAGCCTGGCGGACCTCTCAGCGAGATCCTGTCTTCAAAGCTAAAACTGTTCCTTACCTGTGCCTGGAATTTATCTTCCCGTGTTTGCGCGAAATGTGCACTCAAAATTAGAAACGCTTCATCCAACTTCATTTTGGTTGAGGAGAACTTAAATGTTCCTCATCAGAATTTCCAGGAAAGCGCAGTGGAAGAAATTGAAGACACCGAAAGGTTCAAAAGGTGTTCGAAACAAAGTCCTGGTTTAAGAAGCGAAAAGAGGAGGAAAGCCGACAGGCTAAATGCATCGAAAGAAGAATTTTTGATGGAAACCTTTTACGGCATACTTACTGTATGCTTTTACTTTTAATAGCTTACAAATGCTTTTATGAACTAAGGCCTAACCCAGATCTGCTATTCAGTAATTTTACTGTGTATAAATAAATGTTTATTATTACTTGAATATATATATTTTTTTATTGTTAAAGAGGAAAGAGCCAGGAATGTTCGATGGGCATTTGTTGATGGGGATGATGCCATTGATTGCCTCAAAGGGCTAGACCCAAGCCACGCAGATTGGCATGCAAAAGTTACTCTTTATGAAGTGAGTTGGTAGATTTCAGGCCCACATGAACTTCATACACATACAAACACTGCAAGTGATTGAAGGTTAAGTCAACACTTTTTAATTATTGCTATTTTTGGGTAGGTGGACAAGAAAACTTTTTTCAGTGACGATTCTTCGGGTGAAGTTGGGAGCATGTGTGCTTCAATGAACAGGACAGGAAAAACGAACGCCAAGAAGGGACCTAAAGTGGACTTTAATGCCTACAAGGACTTCCACGACCGAGAAACTGAAGCCCACATTATTGCCTCGTTTATGGAATTTGCTGGAATGAAATCTGTACAAGGTGATGATACATGTATTTTGAGCAGTAATTGAGCAGTAATTATTATTTGTCCTCAACCATTTGTGTTGAACGGGTTTGGAATATTAAGAAAACTTAAACTGTGTGCTCAAATTTTGTCTTTTTAAACTTGTACCTTGGATTAGATAAAAATAATTATGAAAAACATTAATACTTATTCTGAATTCAGGAAAGCTATAGCTTAAAGGTGTTCTTGGAAAAATATTATAAAAAAATATGTGCAAATTACAAATTTAAAATTTGATTGCAGATAAGCCGACAAAGTGTACAGTTCCACAATCCTGGCAGTCCAAAGAAGACAAAAAGGCATGGCTTTTTAACCGGATCGAAAAGTACCTGGAGCAGTTTGTGTTTGATGCAAGCACTCTCCCTGACATTACAGAACAAGTTCAACGTCTGGAGAAGAATGAGAAGGATGGATACCGATGCCGAGCAGCAGGGTGTGAGCGCACTTACGTCTTCCACTCAGGTAGAGTCAGGTACGTTAATGCATAACATGATTTGACATTAATCCACTGTTTTATGCAACAGCTAGTCACTAAACGTCACAGTGTTTAGCTTTCCCTCATGTTACATTAATCACAACACTCTTCTTTTCATTGTGTAGGAGTGAGACGTAGGACCATTTGACTTTTTCATTTGACGGTAATCACTCAAACAAAACATAATTATTATTGTGTTTCATCAAAATAAGATAACTGAGTAATTTTTCAATAGGCATGAGATTGAGGCCCATCCTGAACTTGCTATTCAAGACAATGATCCTTCAGCACCACTAGACTCAGAAGGTTATTACAGATGCAGAGGAAACTGTGGTCTGGTGTACAAAACTAAAGCCACAAGAAACAGGTAAGTAATCATTACTTAGTGTGATATAAGGTCTGCACAAGACGAAACAAAGGCTCCTGTAATGTTTAAATGTTGCCATTTCTGGAACTATAATTTTACTAAAAATGTAAGCTTCTCTTAAGTGACAAAATGCAACACCTCAGTTGTTTTTAGTACATAAATGAAATGATAAGTTCACCTGCTAACACTCATAATTTCACCAATTAGCAATTATTGTTTGGTTGTTGACATAAAAAGCATTACCATCCCTACTTTCATATGTAGTGAGGATATAATTATACTGCACGGTCCAATATGTTTGTTTAGCATGGGGATAAGTTCACCCACTAACAATAATGTTACGAATTACTTTTTTCTGGGGTAGACATGAGAAGCAATCCCATCCTGACTTGCAAGCTACATGCACTAGCAGCCCTGAGGCTGGCCATGTTATAAATTCTGCAGAAGAGAAAAAGGAAGACCATGTCTTCAACTATCACAAAGCCAAGCTGACATATGGACTCTTGTTTTCCGATTTTGGAGATGCCATTAGAGAGGGGGATGGACGAAGACTGCTGTCACTATACAAATTGGCCTTGTTGATTTTTTCTTGTTATGGTCATACAAAGTATGCATATGTGACTCTGCTTTTGTTTAACTCTGTGGACAAAGATTGCAGATGTACAGTGCCATCCAAAGTTCGCGGTGGGAAAGGTCATGAAGAGTCAGTGTTGCAGATTGTATCTGATCTCATCAGTATCAATGCTTTTTGCAAGTGCCCTCAACGAGATGGTTATTCTGGCTTTGCCAAGTTCAATTCTAACATAATTTCTCAGTTGGATCAAGCACAATTTTATCACTGGGTAAGGGATAAGTTGAAAATATGGAAGGAAATCTAAAGTCAAGGGCAGTAAACCCCATTTTAGAAATTCCCAGTTAAATCAGCGAGCAGATTCATGCAAATTCCTCTATAAGCCAAAAGTCCCTTTGTTAAGAAATCCTGAATCAGCACAAATGTGTTGTCCGATTATGAGAAATATTAGAATGGTAGGAATATCCCAAAATGTAAATATGGTCTTTTTTGGGATTTCTGTGTGAAATGCACCCCCCCCCCCCCCCCCCCAAAAAAAAAGACCTATCAGTGACAGTATAGATTGAAATGCCAGCTAGGTAATAGTTTGATTATCTTTTAATTAGATGAAATTGAACATGCTTATAAGACATGCCCATAGTTTTTATTTAGTCAATCTAAATAATGATGTAAAATGAAGAGGAATAATATATAACTCAAATAAATGGTATACATAGAAAAGCAGCAAATTGAATAATGGTAAAAACAAGTGAAAATGAATTGGCACAGGCATCCTATGTTGGTGCAAATAAGTAATCACCCACAAATTTAAGTTTCTCAAAATAACTTGACTGAATGCAAATAAAAGCTAGGCAATTTAGACTCTCTGGTTTGTGAACCGCTGTCTGTTATTATGTACATGTATTGGTTGAGAACATAGGTACTATCAGGGCTGTCACTATGTGGCCTATTTCTAAAAACTGCAAGCAGTCCCTGTTGGCCAGTGGGCAAGTGACAGCAAACTAAACGAAACTGCAGACGTCAGGTGAGGCAAGAGGCAAAAGGTAACCCACATGGCAATCATGAAGGACTTCTTACAGTTTTAGTCTTAAATAAGTAATAAGAATGAAAAGAAGCTCCTTTTCTCCGGGATTGTCAAAGAAATTGGACAAATCTTCAGGCAAAGCCTGCATGATCTCCTCGAAGCAGGCTATGTCCTCAAAGGTTTCTTGAAATATTTCTCGAACCATCTTTGCATGAACAATGTTAAATACAGGAAACCTCTTTAAAATGTCAGAAACCGAAAATATCGAGGAAGCTTCTACCACAAGCTCACTGATAAGTTCAGTGGAAAATCCATGAGCACTAGAAGGTCCAAACACTGACGATGTGGGACCATTCAAATTGCTCCGCAACTCAGTTAAGGCTTCATGGAGAACATTGCGATCCTCAGCATTTACAGTTCTCTGGGTTGTTATAGTGCTCTCTGATTGCAAAGATCCCATGGGGTTGTCAAAAGGAAATGCTTCTCGCTTGCACTCACCCCCGCCACATAAACACTTCTTCTCACAGTTGCTACAGCAGTCATGCAGACATGTTAAACTTTCCACAGCAGCATACGCTTCAAACAAGGTCTTGCGTATGCAAGTGTCTGTCTTACAGAACGTTTTGACTGCCTTATCACATTGTGAGAGTTGATTGCCGTGATAAATGATCACATTGTGTGCAGGTTTTCCATTACGACCTGCCCGTCCTGCCTCCTGAATGTGATCAACTGTACTCCGTGCAGGACCAATGTGTATGATAAATTTTACATCTTGGAAGTTGACCCCCATACTTAACGCAGAGGTTGCAACCACAACCTTAACACAGCCACTATCTTGCTTGAAGGAATCAGTTACTCTACCCTTGTACTTTGGCCAAGTCATGGAATGATAGATTCCAAGCAGTCGGTTCGCTGGCACACAAGGCTTGTCAGTAACATAGCCATCGGCACCAAGCATTCCAAGAAGGTGTCCACTCAATTTGGCCACATCTTGCATTGTGGTACAAAAAATTATGGTTTTGGGCATATTTTCCCTTTCCAATCGAATCATGTCAATTAACCACTGAAGATGTTGGAGATGGTTTTCTCTTTTTGTTTTTATGATGGTGAAACGAATATTGCTCCGTTCAGGACTGATATCTAAAACAACTTTGTCTTTCTTGAAAGACAAGTCTTTCATGATGGTCTGCTTCATTTTAACATCAGCTGTTGCAGTTAACGCCAAGAATGGGATACCTAAATATAGAAAGCCCTTTAAGTATGCCACATAATAAAAACTTGCATATGTAAGGTGTTGGCTAGTAGATTTTTTACAAAGATCTGACTAAAAAAAGGTCTGACTAAAAAAATTATATTATATCTTTGAAACATTGCTTATTTCTCAAATATTGAAAAGATTAAGCTTGCATTTCTAAAATGGTGACAACAAAAAGATTATGTTGCCCAGCACTTTAAAACTAGCGACATCTGCAAGTGTTCTTTTACAGTAAACGATGTGTGTAAACTATCAGGGATACTTCCATTTAAAAAGCTAAAAGTTAACATTTCCGCACAGCCCCATACAGTTATTATGCATGCGTAATCACATATCGAATACACATTCTTTATAATACCTGCACAAAAAGATCGCAACGTAGATAGCGAGCCAAAGTCCTTTCGAAATGGTTGAAGGAACTTGTTCCCGCATTTTTTACTCTTGCCCTTGTGAACACAAGTAAACTATTGTAAATGCGGGACTAGCTGTAAGGTATGAAGATCACTTTTTTGCATTCGATCACACTCACTTAAGCTTAACTAGCGTGTGGAAATTTACACTCATGTAACTGTTTTTCAAAAGAGAACGACAGATCACCGGATGGAAATTGACTTACAGGTTTTACCCCTAAAGAAACTTGCCAGGTTTCGATAGTGTGACATTCGTCGACCACAACCAAGGACAAATTCTTCCTGAATTCCGACGATTCGTCCTTCAGCAAATCTCTAAATTCTTTGGAAAGCGCTTGTTCCGCAGAAGCAAAAATCACTTGAAATTTGTTGACAGTAATGTCTTTCAT